AAAGGTCCGGTTAATTTACTTAGGAATTGCATCTTGCCGTTTGAAAGCCATAGGATAATCCATGGAGCGGTCGCTCTTCATGGGACCACACAGGCTTGATGAAGGAAAATCTACTCTTTTCTCCTCAGTCCTGAAGAAATGGAGAATTGACAAAAGACAGGCTAAGAAGTTAGTAACGTATTGCCTGAAGGAAGCAGGTGTCACAAGTTACAACATGGAACTAATTGTAGTGACCAGGTGGGCAGACTGTAGACAACACATATAGTATTGTTGTATATTTTCAAAGACAATATGAGCTCGAAAGGTCCGGTTAACTTACTTAGGAATTGAATGTTGCTGTTGGAAAGCTGTAGGGTAATCCATGGATGCGGTCACTCTTCATGGACACACAGCTCGGTGCAGGAGAATCTGCTCTTTTCTCCTCAGTCCTGAATGAATGGAGAATTGACAAAAGGACAGGCGAAAGTATTAGGAGCTTGTTAAAAGGTACATGGAAGGAAGGTTTTACTCGTTACAAACATTAACTAATTGTAGTGACCAGGGGCCAGATTGCAAGACAGGCATATATAGAATAGTTATATAGTAAGGGCCCGTGTCCACATGCCATATTTTTCTGAGTGCTGGTGAGTTTGTGACTTTTATTTCCGTCCTCCTTGCTCTGCAGCTGTCAGACTGAGCAGTGAAGCACTTTCATGCAAAGTGCAGCAAGATTATTCAGGTTGGTTGTAATGGTAAAAAAAACAATGTCTGACATTTGAAATTCCTTATAGGTAAATTTGAGCTCAGAAGGTTCTGTCAACTTACTTAGGACTTAAATCTGACTGATTGGAAAGCTGTGGGGTCCCCTGTGGACCGGTCACTCCTCATGGACACGGGGGATGGTTCAGGAGAATCAGCTCTTTCCTGCTCAGTCCTGAAAGAAATGGAGCGTTGAGAGAGAGGTGGAAGAATATGAAGCTCAATGACTGAAAAAAGATCAGTGTTATTTTTGGGTGATATAAATAAAATATCTTAAACGAACTTAAGGAAAAGCTGTCAACAAGGTTGTAGTGCACATAACACATAGCGTTGTCTTTAAAATAATGTTGAGGCTGCAAAATATTTATTTTATTGACGTGGTAAAACAATAAAACCATATAAAAATCCAACAGACGTTAATGGTGAACTTTGGTACACTTATCTGCTGGCCGAAGGTCATATCAAATATAAAGATAAAAAGTCACAAGGGCCTCCAAGGCCACATTTTATATTTCATAAGCAAACAAGAACAAAACCATTCCAGGTAAAGTGATCTTGATTATTGTAATCATGTGGGCGGGAAGAGAAACTGACACCATATTCTGCTGTAATGTATGCAAGTCACTTTTCTGAATCAGTCACATCTCAGAGATCTTCCTCTCACCTCTCATGTCCCTCAGACAGAGTGCTGCTGGAGGGCGGGACACCCCCCTCTTCATCCTCAGATTCACTCATGGTGCAAACAGGACTGAAACACACATCAAACATGTTGTGTTAGCAGGGAGTCATTACAAGAGTTATGATTAGGTTGGAATCAATCAGGACCTTCAATTCCCTTGAGAAAATAAAGACGTGTATAAAAACATATAATTAAATGCAAAGAAAGTATTCAGATCAGTTTCTACAATAGAAAACAAACAGATTTAAATACAAAATAAAAACCTTGCCTTCGCATTAAATTGTATTTATAAAACTATTCAGGTCGCTTTCTGAATACCTCAATAAGCCTATAAGCCTTAAGGGTTGTTGTCCTTCACCTGCATATTCTGTTATCAGAACTTTTTATGTGCTATTTGTAATAAATCAATAAAAACTAATCAGTTAAATAGTACCAAAAAATACAGATTAAAAATCCTGCCTAAAATATAAATTGTACTATTTCATTATTTGCGTGGGGCCACAAGTTGGCCAGAGGCCGCCCTGGGAGTGTGTGGTGTGTGGTGTGTGTGTGTGTGTGTGTGTGTGTGTGGTGTGTGTGTGTGTGTGTGTGTGTGTGTGTGTGTGTGTGTGTGTTGTGTGTGTGTGTGTGTGTGTGTGTGTGTGTGTGGTGTGTGTGTGTTGTGTGGTGTTGCATTGCATGCAGCAGCACCGTGTGTGTAAACTGCTCCGCGCTCTCGCACACAGACGGGGCAGAGAGATTGGAAAGATCGAAAATATACATCATATTTTGTAGTCTTATTGCATATCAGAACGGAGTTGGCGAAACTAAAACTGCAATATAATGTTTATGTAGCAATAATACAATAATACATATGACATATATTTTTCAAATGTCAGGAGTTTCCTGTAATTGGAAATAACACCTTACGTTAAGATCTCCTTATAAAACAAAATGTCCGACAAAGATAAACAACAACTTTTATAATAATATCACTAACTTAATTCAGCTGTGGTTGTGGTAACAATGTACCGCAACACAGAAAATCGCGACCAAACCGTCACATTAACGGTTTATAAAGCCGTAAAAAGTTTTCTAGAACAATGAGGGAAGTTTGTGCTAAGCTAACTGAGTCCTAGCTAGCATACACGGTTAAAGATATTTATAAACTAGATAGCATTCGAGGGTAAACGTTACAGCACGAGTAGTATTACATAATACATATTTATATGTAGTGAGACTGAATCAAAGGTTCAATAATATACGTTGTATATGTCGATGGGTTTTAATCCGCAGATTCAGCTTACCTTTAGTGCGCAGTTATTATTTGCCAAAGTGAAAGTGAAATTTAACATGACTAAAAACATAACAAGGAGGTGTGACACGTCAGTTTGGAGGTTGGTTGTATAGAAAACACACGGATTACAAGGAGTCAGGCATTAATAAAATGTGTTTCTGAAATCATTTTTTAATTAAAACCTCACTGTAAGAATATCAGTCTTCTTATGGACCATTCCGGCGGATATAATTGATTATCAGGCGGGGTATAAAAGTAACAAAAACAGGGGGTTATTTGACACGAGGAGATCTCAAAACTCTTTCCGCCTGGTCCCGCCCAGTACTGTGCTGTGATTGGCTCGTTGCGTCTATGCGCTGTTTTGATTGGATGCCTTTTTTTTACCAGTTTTGTGTGCAGATATAAGGACTTTGACACCATTCATTGTTGCTCTCGATATATTGTGTAACAGGTGACCAGGAGGGCTTCTTGAGTAAAATAAACAGAGTATTATAAGCAAACAACACATTCTTTACAATCTTCAATCGTAAATGAAGTATATAAAAGTGTATAAAAAGTTGTTTTTTACTAAATGTAAGAGATACCAGATAAATACACTTTTATAGCTTTTATGAGTTTTCCTGTCTTTCTATACATCTCTACTGAAAAAGTTGATATGTCTAGGTAATAATCCCTTGTAGCACAGGCTCCAAATATCTGCCTATAGAGAATGTTGTTTTTGTGTTGTGTTGTTGGTAAGGGATTTTATTTAACAGTTGGATAGTTATATATTATACAACATGATCATTATCCGCCCTTGTTATGTCCAGTTATGTGTATTTAGAGTGTATATAACTGACCTACTTTCTTTTATCTACAGGTGTAATTTCACAGTTTCACTTTTACTTGTGCCTGTGTGAAATATTCCAGTACTTTTCCATGATGTGTGAAGCCAGAAGAAGCTGTGTGGCTTAGGAATTCAGATGATAGACGAGACAGTTTTCTTTTCCAAAATAGAGAGCCTTCAGTAACATCAGTTCATATCATCAATCTATTCATTTGATTTAATATATGCTCACACTCACACTCCTCTCTACCATTGAAACTGTAACAACTTACAAGATATATGAAAAGCTTCCTGTTTTCAAGCATCATCCATCAAGTCCATCCATTCAGGTGTGTAAAGTGACTACAGATTTACTCAAGAAACTGTACTTCAGTACAATGTTGAGATAATTGTACTTTACTTGAGTATTTCCATGTTATATACTGTGTACTTTTCCTCCACTCCATGTATTTAATACCTTTAGTACTTCACAGATGTGGATGAATGATGTGAAATATAATCAACATTGTACTTTAACTTGAAGAACCATTTTGAAATGCAGGACTTTTACTGTAACAGAGTATTGCTACACTCTGGTACTTCTAGTTTGACTCAAGTACAAGATCTGAGTACTTCTACTTTTACTCAAGTACAATACCCGAGGTACTGATACTTTAACTCAAGTACAGCTATGAGTACTTTCTACTTTGACTCAAGTTACAAGACCCGAGTACTTCTACTTTGACTCAAGAACAAGATCTGAGTACTTCTACTTTACTCAAGTACAAGATCTGAGTACTTCTACTTTTACTCCAAGTACAAGTTCTGAGTACTTCTACTTTTACTCAAGTACAAGTTCTGAGTACTTCTACTTTTACTCAAGTACAAGCTCTGAGTACTTCTACTTTTGACTCAAGAACAAGATCTGAGTACTTCTACTTTTACTCAAGTACAAGTTCTGAGTACTTCTCCCTTTCCTGCAGTTATAGAAGTGTTAAAAAGCGCCACTAAGAAAAACTTGATACGAACAACAAAATGTTGCTTAAATAAATAATGTTTTAAAAACTGATTCAAATAAGTCGGTTTTATTTTAAACCCTTAAATTTATGGTTGATCTCTTATTTCCCCTGTTTTTTCTGTCCACTCTATTGAGTAGGATTAAAACAAAATGTTAGAAACCAATGCACGTGTTGTCGCTTTGTATGAAAGCATCAGCTGAGTTTATGAAACGTAATGTAAGGATTCAATAAGAGCCAGAAAGGGGTTTTATGAATGTCGTAATGTTCACCACACATAGGCACCAGAGGGTTATCAGACTGAGGTTACTTTATTGTTGCTAGTAGTTAAAATAAAAATATACGTAAGTTATGAATGTGAAAAAGTGACATTTTAACCGTGTTTGTACAATGATTAAAACTATTACAATAAAAAGAGTCCATGCTGGTTAATGAGAGGTTTCCCCGCTTACATATGTTCATGGTGACCTGGATGAACTGCCAGAGAGACATGATGAGAGGTTTCCCCGCTTCATATGTTCATGGTGACCTGGATGAACTGCAGAGAGACATGATGAGAGGTTTCCCCGCTTCATATGTTCATGGTGACCTGGATGAACTGCAGAGAGAGACATCCTTAATATCCAATACAACATTCACAGGAAACAGGCGGAGAAATACTTCATTCATCCCTCGGGGGAAAATACATTTTGTATCAGTTGTTTCATTTTGGAATAGTATAGAATACAAAATAATAAAATAAAATAGAATAAAGTAAAATAAAAAGAAATTAAATGTCATTATATGAACAAAAAAATAAATAATGAATATAAACATTGAAAAGTTAAAGTAAAATTGACAAAGAAAATATTTAATAAGATACATAAAATAATAACAAATGAAATGGTTGTCATACCTCGTCAAACTGAAACTCGGCTCTGCCCGTTCGGGTTGTGTCTCTCCTCTGGAACTGATCTGAAAAACACATTAGAGCACATTTTAATGAACTTCCTCATTACTCTCTCTGTTGACGATGAGCATTGTGTCTCCACACCCAGATAAAGGCCGTCTCAGGAAGAGAACTGCAGAGAAATGCTGCACATTTACTCCAAAAAATGAGATTCATCAAAAAAAATTGCTGAATTTTTAGTTTTTTCCACTTTTCCACATCTCTTTATTTATTGTCAACAAGCAAATCCAACAGATGATACCAAATTGAACTTGATTTATCAACTAAGGAAAACAAGTATAAATAAACTGAGGCACTATTACGCTTTTTTGGGGTTTTGGCGCTTTTCTTTGTCTTTTGCGGCCACTACACGGCCTCGCTCGGCCTAGCTCGGTATGGCTACCGAGCTAGGCGTTAGGAACAGGCTCACTTTATGACGCATTACCATTAACAGTTTAGGAAACGGGGCAGTAACTATAGTAACGCAGTGTAGGCAGGAGCCGTGACGTATCTTCAATGAGAAACCACAGAAAACCAACATCAGCCGTTAGCTCTTAGTAGCCACCGTTACAGTCGCTGGTTTATTTATGTCTGTATAGGCCGTTGCTGTGAGTGTGGACGGTCGGAGCATATAACGTTAGCTTAGCCGATCTCCATTCAGAAAACACGCATTTTAAAAGATTTTTCGCCTGCCGTCTGTCTGCAGACTTGTCAAAGCATTAATTCATGGTTTTTACTAACCGGTATCAGTATTTTGTTACTTCGGCATCATTTTGAAACGTGTATTACAATTAAAATCACGGTCAAATATGTTCATTTTGTTGAAGTTGTAGCCCCCTTGCCAGCGATTCTCTCTCTAGTTTAGCATACTCAGCCCGACTCAGCCTGGTTGTTGGGCCGGAAAGAACCTCAATTTTATGCGGCCAGAAAAACTGTGAAATAGTACCCGCTAGCCGGAACTACGCCAAGTCGAAACGCAACCAAAAACGGGCCGGGCAAGGCACGTTTAAAGCGAGCTCCGCGCTGTAGTGGAAATGCGCCATTAATGCGCTTATACAATTAATGTATTATTTAGGCGACAGGACTCTTTAAAAGTAGAGACACTACATACTGATATACACCTGAACATCAGCAGGAGAGGACTCTTTAAAGTAGAGACACTACATACTGATATACACCTGAACATCAGCAGGAGAGGACTCTTTAAAGTAGAGACACTACATACTGATATACACCTGAACATCAGCAGGAGAGGACTCTTTAAAGTAGAGACACTACATACTGATATACACCTGAACATCAGCAGGAGAGGACTCTTTAAGTAGAGACACTACATACTGATATACACCTGAACATCAGCAGGAGAGGACTCTTTAAAGTAGAGACACTACATACTGATATACACCTGAACATCAGCAGGAGAGGACTCTTTAAAGTAGAGACACTACATACTGATATACACCTGAACATCAGCAGGAGAGGACTCTTTAAAGTAGAGACACTACATACTGATATACACCTGAACATCAGCAGGAGAGGACTCTTTAAAGTAGAGACACTACATACTGATATACACCTGAACATCAGCAGGAGAGGACTCTTTAAAGTAGACACTACATACTGATATACACCTGAACATCAGCAGGAGAGGACTCTTTAAAGTAGAGACACTACATACTGATATACACCTGAACATCAGCAGGGAGGACTCTTTAAAGTAGAGACACTACATACTGATCTACACTACACTGAACATCAGCAGGAGAGGACTCTTTAAAGTAGAGACACTACATACTGATATACACCTGAACACTAGCAGGAGAGGACTCTTTAAAGTAGAGACACTACATACTGATATACACCTGAACATCAGCAGGAGAGGACTCTTTAAAGTAGAGACACTACATACTGATATACACCTGAACATCAGCAGGAGAGGACTCTTTAAAGTAGAGACACTACATACTGATATACACCTGAACATCAGCAGGAGGAGGACTCTTTAAAGTAGAGACACTACATACTGATATACACACTGAACATCAGCAGGAGAGGACTCTTTAAAGTAGAGACACTACATACTGATATACACCTGAACATCAGCAGGAGAGGACTCTTTAAAGTAGAGACACTACATACTGATATACACCTGAACATCAGCAGGAGAGGACTCTTTAAAGTAGAGACACTACATACTGATATACACCTGAACATCAGCAGGAGAGGACTCTTTAAAGTAGAGACACTACATACTGATATACACCTGAACATCAGCAGGAGAGGACTCTTTAAAGTAGAGAAACATATACTGATATACACCTGCATATCAGCAGGAGAGGACTCTTTAAAGTAGAGACACTACATACTGATATACACCTGAACATCAGCAGGAGAGGACTCTTTAAAGTAGAGACACTACATACTGATATACACCTGAACATCAGCAGGAGAGGACTCTTTAAAGTAGAGAACTACATACTGATATACACCTGCATCAGCAGGAGAGGACTCTTTAAAGTAGAGACACCAAATACTGATTACACCTGACCATCAGCAGGAGAGGACTCTTTAAAGTAGAGACACTACATACTGATATACACCTGAACATCAGCAGGAGAGGACTCTTTAAAGTAGAGACACTACATACTGATATACACCTGAACATCAGCAGGAGAGGACTCTTTAAAGTAGAGACAACTACATACTGATATACACCTGCATCAGCAGGAGAGGACTCTTTAAAGTAGAGACACTACATGATATACACCTGCATCAGCAGGAGAGGACTCTTTAAAGTAGAGACACTACATACTGATATACACCTGAACATCAGCAGGAGAGGACTCTTTTAAAGTAGAGACACTACATACTGATATACACCTGAACATCAGCAGAGAGGACTCTTTAAAGTAGAGACACTACATACTGATATACACCTGAACATCAGCAGGAGAGGACTCTTTAAAGTAGAGACACTACATACTGATATACACCTGAACATCAGCAGGAGAGGACTCTTTAAAGTAGAGGCACTACATACTGATATACACCTGAACATCAGCAGGAGAGGACTCTTTAAAGTAGACACTACATACTGATATACACCTGAACATCAGCAGGAGAGGACTCTTTAAAGTAGAGACACTACATACTGATATACACCTGAACATCAGCAGAGAGGACTCTTTAAAGTAGAGACACTACATACTGATATACACTGAACATCAGCAGGAGAGGACTCTTTAAAGTAGAGACACTACATACTGATATACACCTGAACATCAGCAGGAGAGGACTCTTTAAAGTAGACACTACAGACTGATATACACCTGAACATCAGCAGGAGAGGACTCTTTAAAGTAGAGACACTACATACTGATATACACCTGAACATCAGCAGGAGAGGACTCTTTAAAGTAGAGACACTACAGACTGATACACCAGAACAGCGATGTGCAGTCAGGGGAGGCAGAGCCTTACCTGTCATACTCCAATGTAACGGAAAAACAACTAAAGAAAAACTAAATAGTAATAATAAAATGTCTCCACTGATCTGTGTTGTAAGTGTGATTTCTGTTTGATTCCAATCGCTTTTTATAGTCAAAATCATTTTTCCAGAGCTCTGCTACAACTACGGGTAGCGATGAGAAGTGAGGACGAGCTCTGCCTCTCGTAAGCCCACAGTAACTGGCTGGAGCGCGGGCACTAATTTAACGCGGGCACTTATTTTGTGAGCGCGCTCCAGTCAGTTACTGTGTGGTGAGGTGAGGCACAGATGAGCTCTGCCTCACCTCAGAATGCGTCATCTCACAGAAACTGGCTGAAAAGCGGGCCCTAAGCGCATGCTGCACCATCTCACTGTATGTCACCAATGTAATGTTTGTAGATCCCTTTATTACATTATCCTCGCTATCCAGTCTCTAAATAACTTATTTCACGTATATATGATATTTAGGCTCGCTGGTCTCATCATACAACGGCAATGAAAAAAGCACCTGGAGAGGCAGCCATAACTCTGCCGCACTGCAGGGGGCGCAAGTGAGCCCACAGGTCCTTGTTGCTACTGTTATTCTACGCAGAGACGGTAGACCGAACAACAAGCTAGACTTTTGAAACTAGAGAAGATAAGGAGGACTTTTACAAAGAAGTAATAGAGATTGTTTCCGAAGGAAGCATGGACTTCATCTTCAAGTCAAGGTAAGAGCACCATTGTAATGAACATGGGATCTTACTAAGAAAGAACAATCCAATATTTAGATGTTGGGTATCCTTTTGTTGAACGGTCTGTTTTAAAATGAATCGAAGCATCAGACTAAAAAAGCTTTTGAAAATAACCGAACATTCGATTAAGGTCAAAATATAATATTTGTAAATCTGACTCTGAAAGAGTCAGTGCCTCACCAGCCATGAACCTCACCGCACGTCACTGCCTGAACATCAGCAGGCGAGGACTCTTTAAAGTAGAGACTACATACTGTATACACCTGAACATCAGCAGGAGAGGACTCTTTAAAGAGACACTACATACTGATATACACCTGAACATCAGCAGGAGAGGACTCTTTAAAGTAGAGACACTACATACTGATATACACCTGAACATCAGCAGGAGAGAACTCTTTAAAGTAGAGACACTACATACAATTAATTGATCATTTAGGCTCCAGAACCGCAGACCTCTGATTGGTGGACGCTCACACTGCCTGCTGGGGATCAGTAGTAATGTTTGGTATTTTATTAGAAAGCTATCTGCTCAGACTCACCGGTCAGCGCACGGAGTTTGATGCAGCAGCTCATGAAGTCGTCGAACCCGATTCTTCCCTGCCCGCTGTAGCGGTTCATGATGATGCTCATCGCCTGAGGGCTCAGATTATAACCTGCACGGGAACATCATAGAGGACATTCATCTCATATTCATTTCAACCTAATACAAATTCACTTTAACATAAAAAATTATAATTAGTTTGCACATTTCCGCACAATGCAAAAAGGTCCCCTATAAACTGTGTTCTTCATCAATATATCACAGGTCTCAGATATATCCAGAGCCTGTCTCTGATTGGCTGAAACACCAAACAGGTCATTGCAGCATTACCCATAACCCCTCTGTTTCAGCCCTGTTTCCAAAGTGCTGATTCTCTGTCTGTTACTTTAGATGAAAACAAGGAGCCCCTCCCCACGCCCCTCTGAGAGACATTTGGTTACAAAGAACTCAATGGAGCTCTAGGAGATTCAGGTGATAAGGGGGGGGGGGTTACCTTGGTTGCTGATTGGCTAATGGTTACACAAGACAAACACATCGTTATGACCAAAATCTGATCAGCTCATTTTCAGACAAGTTTTTATAGAAATGGATCAAAAAGAAGAAGAATCTTTGTTCCTGAAACTTTCAGAGTCTCTTTCCACTGAGGGGACACATGTTGATGTAGAAGAGACATGAAGAAGAGGGGACACATGTTGATGTAGAAGAGACATGAAGAAGAGGGGACACATGTTGATGTAGAAGAGACATGAAGAAGAGGGGACACATGTTGATGTAGAAGAGACATGAAGAAGAGGGGACACATGTTGATGTAGAAGAGACATGAAGAAGAGGGACACATGTTGATGTAGAAGAGACATGAGAAGAGGGGACACATGTTGATGTAGAAGAGACATGAAGAAGAGGGGACACATGTTGATGTAGAAGAGACATGAAGAAGAGGGGACACATGTTGATGTAGAAGAGACATGAAAGAGGGGACACATGTTGATGTAGAAGAGACATGAAGAAGAGGGGACACATGTTGATGTAGAAGAGACATGAAGAAGAGGGGACACATGTTGATGTAGAAGAGACATGAAGAGAGGGGACACAGTTGATGTAGAAGAGACATGAAGAAGAGGGGACACATGTTGATGTAGAAGAGACATGAAGAAGAGGGGACACATGTTGATGTAGAAGAGACATGAGAAGAGGGGACACATGTTGATGTAGAAGAGACATGAAGAGAGGGGACACATGTTGATGTAGAAGAGACATGAAGAAGAGGGGACACATGTTGATGTAGAAGAGACATGAAGAAGAGGGACACATGTTGATGTAGAAGAGACATGGAAGAGGGGACACATGTTGATGTAGAAGAGACATGAAGAAGAGGGGACACATGTTGATGTAGAAGAGACATGAAGAAGAGGGGACACATGTTGATGTAGAAGAGACATGAAGAAGAGGGGACACATGTTGATGTAGAAGAGACATGAAGAAGAGGGGACACATGTTGATGTAGAAGAGACATGAAGAAGAGGGGACACATGTTGATGTAGAAGAGACATGAAGAAGAGGGGACACATGTTGATGTAGAGAGACATGAAGAAGAGGGGACACATGTTGATGTAGAAGAGACATGAAGAAGAGGGGACACATGTTGATGTAGAAGAGACATGAAGAAGAGGGGACACATGTTGATGTAGAAGAGACATGAAGAAGAGGGGACACATGTTGATGTAGAGAGACATGAAGAAGGGGGACACATGTTGATGTAGAAGAGACATGAGAAGAGGGGACACATGTTGATGTAGAAGAGACATGAGAAGAGGGGACACATGTTGATGTAGAAGAGACATGGAGAAGAGGGGACACATGTTGATGTAGAAGAGACATGAAGAAGAGGGGACACATGTTGATGTAGAAGAGACATGAAGAAGAGGGGACACATGTTGATGTAGAAGAGACATGAGAAGAGGGGACACATGTTGATGTAAAGAGACATGAAGAAGAGGGGACACATGTTGATGTAGAAGAGACATGAGAAGAGGGGACACATGTTGATGTAGAAGAGACATGAGAAGAGGGGACACATGTTGATGTAGAAGAGACATGAAGAAGAGGGGACACATGTTGATGTAGAAGAGACATGAAGAAGAGGGGACACATGTTGATGTAGAAGAGACATGAAGAGAGGGGACACATGTTGATGTAGAAGAGACATGAAGAAGAGGGGACACATGTTGATGTAGAAGAGACATGAAGAAGAGGGGACACATGTTGATGTAGAAGAGACATGAAGAAGAGGAGACACATGTTGATGTAGAAGAGACATGAAGAAGAGGGGACACATGTTGATGTAGAAGAGACATGAGAAGAGGGGACACATGTTGATGTAGAAGAGACATGAAGAAGAGGGGACACATGTTGATGTAGAAGAGACATGAAGAGAGGGGACACATGTTGATGTAGAAGAGACATGAAGAAGAGGGGACACATGTTGATGTAGAAGAGACATGAAGAAGAGGGGACACATGTTGATGTAGAAGAGACATGAAGAAGAGGGACACATGTTGATGTAGAAGAGACATGAAGAAGAGGGGACACATGTTGATGTAGAAGAGACATGGAGAAGAGGGGACACATGTTGATGTAGAAGAGACATGAAGAAGAGGGGACACATGTTGATGTAGAAGAGACATGAAGAAGAGGGGACACATGTTGATGTAGAAGAGACATGAAGAAGAGGGGACACATGTTGATGTAGAAGAGACATGAAGAAGAGGGGACACATGTTGATGTAGAAGAGACATGAAGAAGAGGGACACATGTTGATGTAGAAGAGACATGAAGAAGAGGGACACATGTTGATGTAGAAGAGACATGAAGAAGAGGGACACATGTTGATGTAGAAGAGACATGAAGAAGAGGGGACACATGTTGATGTAGAAGAGACATGAAGAAGAGGGGACACATGTTGATGTAGAAGAGACATGAAGAAGAGGGGACACATGTTGATGTAGAAGAGACATGAAGAAGAGGGGACACATGTTGATGAGAAGAGACATGAAGAAGAGGGGACACATGTTGATGTAGAAGAGACATGAAGAAGAGGGGACACATGTTGATGTAGAAGAGACATGAAGAAGAGGGACACATGTTGATGTAGAAGAGACATGAAGAAGAGGGGACACATGTTGATGTAGAAGAGACATGAAGAAGAGGGGACACATGTTGATGTAGAAGAGACATGAAGAAGAGGGGACACATGTTGATGTAGAAGAGACATGAAGAAGAGGGGACACATGTTGATGTAGAAGAGACATGAAGAAGAGGGGACACATGTTGATGTAGAAGAGACATGAAGAAGAGGGGACACATGTTGATGTAGAAGAGACATGAAGAAGAGGGGAACACATGTTGATGTAGAAGAGACATGAAGAAGAGGGGACACATGTTGATGTAGAAGACATGAAGAAGAGGGGACACATGTTGATGTAGAAGAGACATGAAGAAGAGGGGACACATGTTGATGTAGAAGAGACATGAAGAAGAGGGGACACATGTTGATGTAGAAGAGACATGAAGAAGAGGGACACATGTTGATGTAGAAGAGACATGAGAAGAGGGGACACATGTTGATGTAGAAGAGACATGAAGAAGAGGGGACACATGTTGATGTAGAAGAGACATGAAGAAGAGGGGACACATGTTGATGTAGAAGAGACATGAAGAAGAGGGGACACATGTTGATGTAGAAGAGACATGAAGAAGAGGGGACACACGTTGATGTAGAAGAACATGAAGAAGAGGGGACACATGTTGATGTAGAAGAGACATGAAGAAGAGGGGACACATGTTGATGTAGAAGAGACATGAAGAAGAGGGGACACATGTTGATGTAGAAGAGACATGAAGAAGAGGGACACATGTGATGTAGAAGAGACATGAAGAAGAGGGGACACATGTTGATGTAGAAGAGACATGAAAAGAGGGACACATGTTGATGTAGAAGAGACATGAAGAAGAGGGGACACATGTTGATGAGAAGAGACATGAAGAAGAGGGACACATGTGATGTAGAAGAGACATGAAGAAGAGGGGACACATGTTGATGTAGAAGAGACATGAGAAGAGGGGACACGTGTTGATGTCGAAGAGACATGAAGAAGAGGGGACACATGTTGATGTAGAAGAGACATGAAAAGAGGGACACATGTTGATGTAGAAGAGACATGAAGAAGAGGGGACACATGTTGATGTAGAAGAGACATGAAGAAGAGGGGACACATGTTGATGTAAAGAGACATGAAGAAGAGGGACACATGTTGATGTAGAAGAGACATGAAGAAGAGGGGACACATGTTGATGTAGAAGAGACATGAAGAAGAGGGGACACATGTTGATGTAGAAGAGACATGAAGAAGAGGGGACACATGTTGATGTAGAAGAGACATGAAGAAGAGGGGACACATGTTGATGTAGAAGAGACATGAATAAGAGGGGACACATGGTGATGAAGAGACATGACGAAGAGGGGACATATGTTGATGTAGAAGAGACGTGTGCACATTATACACCAGAGCAAATTCCTTTAACGTCAATAATTCTGATTCTGATCCGAGACACTGTAAGCCCAGACGTCTCTGTACGTGTGGGTTTCTGAATCTTGATTATCTCACCAACTCTTGCACCGATCTGCTTCCTGTTTAGTGTGGGTGTTGCTAAGGACAACGGGCAGGTTAATGCCAAACGTGAAGTTATTCGGATCAGAGGTTCTTTGGGGAAACTAAGAAAACTCAGTCTGCCTGGCCGGACTTTGGTTAGCGCCTGTGTTAAACTGTAAATGTGCAAATCAACATGCAATAAGGAAACAGCTACGTTTGCAGCATTTCTGGCTTATTTCGTTAATCGTTACACAACATTTCCTGATCCTGGCAGTTTAAAAGCGTTTTGCAAACTAATTAAAAGATCTGATATATCTAAATATCAAAAGCTCACTTGTTCTATCGGCAGAGACACTCATTACAAGTGGAAACATATTGTTGTTATTTTCTTTAACTTGATTTTGGTGCAGCATTTCTTCCAGTGTCTTAGGAGCAGAGAAGGGAAGTAGTGGAGTACAAATAC